GTGAGGTGGAAAGAGGCAATGTGCGCCGATGTGGACAATGAGCTGAGGCTGGCTATGTCACGGACAGCGATGTGCGTGTTGCGTGTTGAGTCGCTGGATATCTGCTGCACAAACTCGTCAAGTAACCGTGAGCAAGCACTTTCACGCCCTGATCGTCATGAGCGGTCCATGCGTCGCGCTGGGATCGAGCTAGAGGGGTGGTTGTGAGGATGTATGTCACCTCCTCAGCAGCTGTCATGAGCACCATGCAGACACCTTGCGCGCATGAGAGCAAGCTCTGCCTCATGCAAGCCATGGCCCGCGCGTACAGTATCTGCATTTAGAAAACATCATCAGCATCGAGACGAGATTCGTGATTGCAAAAAGTGAAGCGCATGGACGAGAAAGCGCACGCACGCGCAGCATCATCCCAGCAGTCCAACACTCACGAATCGTGACTCGGCATTGGAGCGGTACGGTACGTGTGAGCGTGTTTGCTCGCTTGGAACACGCGAGACAGCAGCAAAAACGCAGAGGATTCCTCGCAGCAGGGGCTTTTGAAACACACCCACGCGCGACTCGGCTGGGATTGGTGCTGCATGATTTGACGCCCTTCAGCCCCGCCATCCGCTGCACGCGGTCCCCTGATGGGGTGCGGCGCGGCGCGGCGCGGCGGGGTGCGCAAGAGCGTGATGCAAACAGCTTACGCGCGGTATGCAGCAGCAGCATGCAATGCATCAGCTAGCAGCGAGCACGCAGCGCGGTCCCAGCAATAATCTCCGTTCAAATTTCACGTACAATGCGAATGCGAGAGAGAGAGAGAGAATCTTGAATGCGGCGCACGTCCTGGCGGTGCTGGTGCTCCGATACATGCAGTAATCAAGCCCGATTGGGAGGAAGCCGCAAAGGCCTACACCACAACAGCCGTGAGTCTTGAGAGACAAGCTGGGCTGCTTGGATTTGCGGTAGTGACCGATAAAAGTAAAAGTGGAGTCAAAAGAGAGGATGCGGCGTGCAAGATGAAGGATCGACAGACTCTGTCCCCTCGTGCCGACATCAAGCAGGCGAGCCTTCGCGACTCCAACGACAGCAATCAGGACTGCAAGCGTATATGCGGTGCGTCCTGGCGCCTTTCCATTCAGGCTCCGCTCATCTTGGAACGTGAGCTGATTCGGCAACTATACACTCATGACCTCAGCACATTTCGACGTGGAAATGCGAGACACGAGTGTGTACAGCATACGGATTCTTCCATCACAAATCTGCTCTGCTCAGACGACGTTGAAGGCCTAGCCGTAAGCGAGCGACCTTTGTGCTAAACTTAAAGTGCAAGCTGCGCGCGCAGCCCGCACTAGTCCAAGCTTTCTTCTTCCC